TTGAATGATACCCCCTTGACCTCTGAGGGGTACCCCTAAGGGAACTATACTTAGTCTTGCTTTGGGGAACCCATTCTCCAATACAAGTGGAATTTGGAATAAGGACCCTCAAAGTCTATATGGGTTGCTATGGTTATTCAGTCATTTCAGTCATGTTCAACTCTTGGTGACCCTGTTTGGGGTTTTCTTGGCAAAGATACTGGAGTGGTTTGCCATTTCCCTTTCCTGCTTATTTACAGATGGGGGAACTGAGGCAAACAGGGTTAAGTGACTTGCCCAGGGTCACACATTGAGTAAGTGTCTGAGGCCAGATTTGAACTCAGAAAGATGAGTCTTCCTGACTTCAGGCCTCTAGGGGTTACAGGTGTCCTAAATATTTAGAATTCTTGGAAAGATATACTGGCAGGCAGAACCTTGTCTAACAATCTGCTGGTCATTAATACTGGGCAAGGCATAAGCCATGGAGATATGCTCACCAAAAGAATTTCAATCAATCAACAATCATTTATCAGGTTCCTATGAGGATCCAGGCCCTGTGTTAGAATGGGGGGGGGGGGGAAAATACAAAGACAAAAGTGAAACAGTACCTGCCCTGAGGGAATTTCAGTGTAACTAATAAAGACAACATTTAGATATAGAGGTATATGCAGAATAGATACAAGATGACTTTGAGAGAAAGGCATTAGCAGCTGGGAGAAGGGGAGCATCAGAAAAGGTTTCTTACAGAAAATGGTCCTTGAACATTGACAAAGGATTTTAAGAGATAACAAGCATCAAGGATGGCCAGTGCAAAAACATGAAGGCAGAAGGAGTGACAGGTGAGAACCAACAAGAATACTAGTTGAGTTCTAGCAAAAGTAGGTTATGACTTACCTGGAGGACTAGGTTGTGAAGAATTTTAAATGAAAAAAAAACAGAGGAGTTTACACTTGATCCTAGAGGTAATAAGGAGCCACTGGAATTTACGGGAAAGGGAAGTGACATGGTCAGAACTACACTTAAACTAAGTATGAGGAGAACGAGAGAGAGAGCAATGCCACAAAAACCAGAGAGAAGAGAGTATCCAGGAAGAGGGGTAGTTTCAAATGTACAATGCTGAAGAAAGGTCAAGAAGGATGAGGAATGAGAAAAGCTCATTAGATCTGGCAATCAAGAGGTTATTGGTAATTTTGAATAAAACAGTTTCAATTGCATGATGACTTTGGAAGACATTGTAAACAGTTTAGAAGAAAATAAGGAGAGATAATGCAAACAATGAGTATTAGCTTTTTAAAGGATTTTAGCTGAGAAAGAGATAGGATGATGGCTTGAAGGGATAGGATGGCAGGGTCTAGAGAGGGTATTTTTGGTTTTTTCTTTTAAAGGATGGAGAGACTGGGCTAGGTTTGCAGGCAGCAGAAAAGGAACCAGGAGAGAGGGAGAAACTGAGAAAATTGAGGGGGCAATCTGCTGTAGAAGACTGGAAGGGATAGGATTGAGAGCACATTTAGGGGGTAGCCTTGGCAAGGAGAAAGAGCCCCTTTTTATCAGAGACAAGTAAAGGAGGTAGTGGGGGCCATTTGATTTGGCAATTAAAAGTTGATTGGTAACTCTGGAGAGAATAGTTTCAGGGTTGTTTGTTTGTTTGTTTAGAGAGCAGGTTTCTAAACATTTACCAGCACATTACTGCACATACTCCCAAAAGTTCAATGACATTATAACCTGAGGAGAGCCAGGATTCAAGCTGAGGGAGTACCAGAACAGCAAGAAACAAAAGATTGTAGCAAAAACTCCCAAAAAACAACCTTTTATTGAATGATGATAAGTTCATATTTCTAGTAAGGGGGTAAAACTCAGTGAAAACCGAAGGAAATGGCCACCTGTAAGCGAATACTTCTACTGCTCTTCTTTCCTGGTGATGTTTTCTGCACATATGATTGGTTGATCCAAACGACAAGCATAACCTTGAAGTTAGTACTTTCAGCCTCTGGATCAAATGAAGAATGGAAGCCCAGTAAGCAGTAGGTCAACAAGTATTTATTAAGCACCTACTATGTGCTTAGCACTGTGCAAAGCACTGGGGAATACAAAGAAAGATAAAAAACAAAACAAAACAAAACAAAAAGCCAGTCCCTGCTGTCAAGAATTTCACACTCTAATAGGATTTCACAGATCCTTTTCTGCATTCTGCTCTGCCTGACCTCTATTTTCCATTCTCAAATCTTCTAGTTTGTACTGTGAACTGGGGTGATTAATCCTACCCCTTAGGCAAATCACTCATTCATATGAAAAAGCTTAATAACCACGATCCCCACTAGAACCTCTTCCTGCTAAATCTCAACTATTCCAACACAAATTAGGCATCATTGCTTCCCGATATTGCCTAGGATGGGGATGTAAGCTCCCTCTATTTCAGCCTTGTAAAGGCATGGTCTCAACCACCAGAGTCCACATTGTCACCTAGACATGCAAAAGTTTTCTACCTATAAGCACAGTCACTATTAAAATGGCTATTTGATCTCACTTCCCTCCTTCATCTATATTGAGTCTCTTTTTCCTTCTTTGATTTTTTTTTTCTAGCAAACAACAATGTGTGTGTGTGCCAGAGAAAGCCTGACATGACTGTGCAATTAGGGTAGACCTTTTTAATTCAAATTGTACTTCAATATGCAACCTAGAGAATAACTTATTACAGATAGGGAGGTCTTGCTGCTTCTAAGTCCAAGCCCCTGTTACATCCTGGCTTAGCAGGCATTGGTAGTTCTCCTGGCTGAATTCAGAAAGCAGTAATCATTATAGCTGAAACTGAGAGCCCCTTTGTTCATACTTACAGTCTTCTGTAAATTCCGTCTCTTACGAGGACCAATATGTGCAATATTATTTATAACAGTATCTTTTGTTGTAGCAAAGAACTGGGAACAAAGTGAGAGACCGCCAACTAGGTAACAGCCGAACAAATTACTGCATATGTGGTCTCCTTGTCATGGCCCTAATATCTCCACCACCTCCTACTCTGACTCACAGGCTATGACAGGTGAGTTTTTTTGCCTTAAATTGCAGGGCCCCAGGACTCCATTCAATTTCCTTAGGTTTCCTTGCCATGCCCATCATATTCTTTCCATCTTTCCTTTATGTATTGATTTCCTCCATTAAAATGCAAGCTCTTTGAGGCAGAGGGTATTTGGTTGTATTGTATCCCAAGCACCTGGCACATTGCCTGGCCCATAGCCAAGAGATAAATTATGTCTCAGTCTCTACCTCAGCCTGTCTCTCTCCATCTATTCATCTGTCTATTTGCCTGCAATGTAATATTATTGTAAAATAAGAAATGATAAAATAGACAGGTTAAGAGAAACATAGGAAGACACATGAACTGATAGAGTGAAATGAGTAGAACTAGTATAATTTATAACATAATTACAATAATTTAAAGGAAAATATCTTTGAAAGACTTAGGAACACTGATCAATAATCAATCATGACTCCAGAGGAAGGCCTCCCACTTCTTGGCAGAGAAGTAGTAGACTAGGAAAGCATACAAAGAAATTTGTTTTACTTGACTGTACTTTAATACAAGGGAAGGCTTTAATTTTTTTGTGAGAAAGGGAATTGTAGGGAGGAGCCCATGGGTGGTGATACTGATGCAAAAAAGAGGGGGTGGAAAGTGTCAACTAAACATTAAAAACACAAAAGAGGAGAAAATTAAGTTTCTCAGGGAACAGAAAGTGTCAGTGCTGCTCTCTGACCAGGTGTGATAATTCAGGGTAGAAAGCAAAAGCCAAAGGATAAAAGATACTCCCTCTCCTGGCTCCCTCCTACTGTAGGAATGTGGGCAAGGTGAAGGCTTTCTGCCTGGAGTTGGACCAGGGCTAGGGAACCTGTGCCCTCAAGGCCACATGTGGCTCTCTAGGTGCTCAGGTGAGGCCCTTTGACCGAATCTAAACTTCACAGAACAGATCCCCTTAATAAAAGGATTTGTTCTGTAACACTTGGACTCAGTCAAAAGACCGAAGCACCCAAGTACCTAAAGAGCCACATGTGGCCTCGAGTTAGAAAGTTTCCCACCCCTGGACCAATGGTAAAGTCTAAATACAAGGTTACACATAAAACAAAACAAACAAAAACCCCCAACAAAATCCTCAACAACTGTAACAGAGATTCACAATTATAGATAGATCGATCCAGATTTTATAACTATATCTTTGCCGCTTTTCCTGTTTTGTATATTAAAATGCTCATGTTTGTCGAGTTAAAAGTTAATAATTTAAAAAAATTAAAAATTAAGGGAGAAGTGAATAGGATTCAAAATGTGGAGTAGAGGATAACTCCACTAGGGTGTGAGTACTCAGTAGATATACTTGTTGACTAATCGATGGGGCAATTAGCAATGGGAGATTTTATGATACTTAAGCCAGAGTTCACGTCTAATTCTTTAATGACGTATGTCACCGGTTCAGAGCTTGGAGTTGACCTTAGAGATCATTTAGTCTAACCCCCTTCTTTTACAGAAGAGGAAATCGAGGCCCAGAGAAGAAAAGCAACTTGCCCAGGGTCTCAAAACTAGCAAGAGTCAAGAGTCAGAATTCCAATCCAGGTCCTCACTGCAGACCCGGCGTTTATTCCACTGCACCAAGCTTCCACTAAGAATCCTACTTGTTTCTTCAAAACTGACTTTTTAAGAAGTTTGAGCATAAACCACCCAGAAAGGGATGTTACTGCAATCCAAGGCAAAGAGTTCGCCTCTAGAATATGAGCCGAGTCTTGCTCGGAGCTGCGATCCCTAAGGAATTATCCTCAGGTCAGAGGTTGCGGTTTTGCACCTCTGTGTTTGCCCAGCCCAGGGACCTGCCGCTAACCGGCGCTTAATAAAACTCGTGGAATTGAATGGGGGCGGGGAACTAGCCAAAGCGCCGCAGCCCCACACTTCCCAGCATGCAGCAGGCGCCGCCGCGGAGCCTGGGCGTGCGAGGGCTGACAGGCGGCGGACTACCACTCCCGTCATGCAGTGGCATGGCGGAGGCCATTGGTGGGAGGTTCCGCGGACGGTAGCCGGTTTGGCGGAACTGGCGGCGACGAAGGCGCCGAAGGATGGAGGCGGTGGTTTTCGTCTTCTCGCTCATCGATTGCTGCGCCCTCATCTTCCTTTCCGTCTATTTTGTATCCTTGCCTCTCGTCTGCCCTCCTGGCTGGGACTCCGTCGGACACCCCGTGGCGTGGCGTGGCGTGGCGGGCCCGGGCCCGGGCCGGGGGAGCCCCAACCTCGGGGCTGAGCGGGCGCGGGTGCGGACAGGGGAAGGTGGGGGGCCCGCCCGCCGCCGCGCCGGAGCGGGGGTGCGCGCGAACAGGGCCGGCCCGGGCTCTGGCCAGGGCGGGGCGGGCTGCCGGGGGCCGGGGGTGGGTGTGTCTGACGGAGGAGCGAGGGGAGCCCTACCTCGGTCCCGATCCCGTGATTTCCTGGGTCCCCGCTTTGGCTGGGCCCCCTCCCCGCCCGAGTCCTAGGTGCAGCCTAACCGGGCATGATTCATTGCCTCGGTCCGTCCCCTCGGCGCTCTTCGGAGAGGAAGGTTAGGTTTCCCCAGGAGATTTTTTTTTTTTTGCGGGGAAGGATAATCCAGCGGTGTGGAGCCAGGTAGCGTGGGCACTGGATACCCCATCGGGCTGATCCTGGCTGGGACCCCAGCCTCCCCTCCCCGCGGCTGCTCTAGTGCTAGGGAGCCCTCTTGTCATTCCTTTAAACACCCCCCTCCTTTGTTCTCCAGAGTGTTGCAGCCCAGGCATTTCACACCCCAAGCAAGACTGGGTTCATTTTCTAGAGGCGAACTCTTCGCTTTGGAATAACATCCTTTTCTGGATGTTTTATGTTAAACTTCTTGAAAAACCAGTGTTGAAGAAATGTTAGGTCTATAAATACACTATTAGTTAACTGCCTCCATTCTTTTTGCAACTACTTTTTGTGGTTTCCTAAAGTGTGAACTCTTTTAAGTCTTTGGACATGCCAGAAGTGTTTTACAAAACAGGCCCATTTGAAGTTGGCTACAAGTGTCATGGAGATTTTGTATTTATTCTTTCATGTTACAATGTTTATACTGTGTCTATGCAAGGCAGAAAGTAGTTATTGAAGCTCAGGACTGAACTAAGTAGGCACTTCAGGACATAGAAAAGAAACAAACTATCTCAGCCCCAGAACACCAATCTTATTAACAGTATTGCATAATAATGCCACGTTACTTTGTTATTAAAATTAAACTAGAATCTGCTTCCCATTTTATAGCTTAGTGCCTTGAACATAATAAAGTTCAGTAATTGTTAAATGAATGAATGAATGGTTTAGAAATAAATGTTCCTTGCCACTTTTTTGTGTGTGAGATTTTAGGTCATGAAATTTTAACCTTTCTTTTGTGTGTCATGAATCCTTTTGGCAGTCTGCTGAAACATGTGGACCCTTTCTTAGAACAATGTTTTTAAATGCATATGATCATAAAGGAAGCAATTTGTATTGAAATATCATTAGCAAAATATTTTTTAAAAGTTTATAGACCCCAGATTAAGAATCCCCATTCTATAGACAGAATTAAATTTTCAGTTTGTTAGAGCATATTGCCTTTTGGTTATCCTACAGCAGTTTTAAAATTCTTTTAAAATTGATAACTTTTGTTTTGACACAAAACGGCCCCAAAACTCCAACAATGAACAACACAACCCCCCCACCCCTCAGTTCTTTTCCCCAGCAAAATCACCTGATAGAGTGTTTGTAGCTGATGGTGCTTAACCCTTTTCTGTAGAATGGTAAGCATGAAAGCCAGAATGTTGGGGGATAAGGAGACAAGGACATTGAGGAAATGGAGGAAAGGAATATATACTGAATTGTCCCATTTCTTTTTAATTGTTAAAATAGATATTACTTTACTACTTTTATACTTTCATTTTGGATCTTTTTAATCTCCCTGTTTTTCACATTATGTTGCATTTGGGAGGTCCAGATGTAGAAATAGTGAGTACTGGTAAGGCTATCCATGAATGTCATTGGTTGAAAAGGGAATGGGGTAAAATAAATGAGAAATTTAAGTTCTCTTAATAATCTGACATTAATATTTTTCAGTAAAGAAATAGCAAATTTTTTTTTATCAAGTCAAACCTCATTCTATCGTTGAGCAGTATGAGTTGTATACTTAGTCATTTTCTGAGGCTTTAACATGAAATCACTGTTGTATTATTAAAGATTGAATTTAATGTTTCCTTATCTTGGTCTTCAGATAATCACATTATCTGATTTAGAATGTGACTACATCAATGCTAGGTCTTGTTGCTCAAAATTAAACAAGGTAAGACTTTAAAAGCCTATTTTCTAATGTTCTAGTCAGTAGGAATCTAGTCAGCTCTCAATTTCCTGTACCAATCAAGGGGAACAGTTGACTGTAGAATACATGTTCTTGAAGCTTGAATTATGGATGTAATATGTTAAAAATAATATCAGGAAGGCAGTGGGCCAGAATGAACTGAAGTTTTCAGAATTAAAAAAAAAATATTCCAAGGACAATAAAGAACTTTAAAAAGTATATTTGATGTGAAGATACCAGGGTTGAGTCTACTTCTTGAGGCAGATACTATAATAATAATGCTACCAAATGAGAAAGAGAAGGGAAAGTAAATACCCAGCTACTCCACTTCCGCCTTCTCAGTTGAGAAAAAGGATCCTCAAACTGATAACAGTAGGACAAACTTAGTGAAGAGGAAACTGAAACTCAAGACAAGCAACTAGATAGTTAGAAAGCACACTGAGCCACTTTAAATGACTTTTGAAAGAATCGTGGAGTCTTAGAGTTTGAAGGAACCTTGGAAGTCTTTTAGTGCAGACCGTGTCTGAAGCATGAATCTGTGCTATAGTACAGTCTCCCTGACTGTAGCCCCCGCTTGGACATATCTATGAGAGAAAACAGAACTATTCTCTCACCCCGCAAAGATACCCCCATCTCATTTTGGGGCAACTCTTAATTCTAAAGAACTTGTTTCTTACTTGAACCAAAATTTGTTACTCTCTAGTCCTGGTTCAGTTCTGTAGAGCGTAGTAGAACAACGATAATCTCTGTTCTCCATAAAAATATCCAATAGAAGTCCCCTGTCTTAGATGATCTATGTCAACAAAGACCTAGATAAAATTGTGGAGTTGCTCAGAATTATGAAAAATGTGAAATGTGCTGAAAGACCGAAAATAGAAAAGTACTGATTTGTGGGGGAGGGGGAAAGGGAAGAATTAGATTCTTTAGAAACTAGACTCTTGAGCTTGGTGTTAATCCCTGGCAAAATATAAAACATTCACAGGTGGTTTGTGAGAACTTAGAAGGTGAAATATGAAGCAATGTACTTGCAATCAGGAGAACCCAAATTTAATGGGAGTTCTGACACTCCCTTTGTGACCTTAGCCAACAGTGTAGTTAAGTGGATTAACAGAGTGGTTGAATCTGTACCTAAAGAATATTAGTTAATAGATGCATGTTAAACTGGAGGGAGGTCTTCCTACTGGTTTGCATAAATACAGTGTCTTAAACCCTGACCTTTTCAACATGTTTATTGGTGATTTGGATGAAGACATCAGTGACAGATTTGCAGGTGACACAGAGCTGGGAGGGTTAGCTAAAATACACCAAATGACAGAATTTAAAAAAAAAAAGGTAGATCTGGCTTGTTTTAAAAGTGCCCAAATTTAACAAGATGAAATTTAATTCGTATTATTCTCAAATATTCAGATGGATATCTGAGTTCATTGATTCTGTAGACCTCCCCAGTGATGCAGGTTGCACCCTTTCCATGCCTGCCTATACTGTGCTATGCTTGTCCATGTCCTTATATAAATTTGCTATAGGGTGTCCAATCAATATGTACCTTTCTTCTGACCCATGGATTGGAACTATGGTGATGACAATAGATTATATTTGTATAGTGCTTTATAGTTATAAAAACTTTCTTCAGAACAGTCCTGTAATATAGATAGTATAAATATAATTTCCATTTTGTAGGTGAGATGACTGAAGTTCAGAGAGGTTGTTACTTTGTCTACTGTTAGACAGCTAGGTAAGTGGTAGGGCCCAGATGTTGTCTTCGAACTCCCAGTCCATTACAATTTTCACTACACCAGGCTGTCTTTCTAAGATTCAGAGTTCTTCAGATTCAAAAAGTTAACTTCATAAATATGAGATAGAAGAGATGTGTCTTAACAGCAGTTCATATAAAAAGATTTAGGGGTTTTAGTTGACTGTAAACTCAATTAGAGTCATCAGTATGGTTTATCTGCTAAAAAACTCTAATATTAGGCTCTATGATTAGAAGTGTATTTCCCAGAATAAGGAAGATATTTGTACAACTCTTCTCTCTGTTGGTCAGATCATTTTAAGAGGGACATTGGACAAAATGGAAATCATCTGTGATGGTGAAGGGACTTGGAACCAGGTCAGAGGAGGATTGGTTGAAGGAACTGGAGTTGTTTAGCCTGGAGAAGAGCAGATTTAATGATGAATAGTATCCCTGTCTTCAAGTATTTGAAGGGTTGTCATGTGGAAGGGGGGTTGGAGCTTACTTGAGTAGCTCCAGAGAGCAGAACCAAAACAATGGGTAGTAGTTACAAGGAGACACATTTCATTTCAGTATAAAGAAGAACTTTTTGACAATCAAGACTGTCCAAAAATGGAATGGCCTGACTGAAAAGGCTGTTGGAAGGGATCACAAAGGCTGTTTAGTTCAACCCTCATTTTACAGATGTGGAACTGAGGCATAGAGTACTTAAGTGACTTGCTCAAGATCTAACAGGCAATTAGAAGCAGAGACTGGATTAACCTCAGGCCTTCTGACTCCAAAGCCAGTGCTTGTCACTGGAAGATTCAAACAAGCTAGACGACTGTTTCTCAAGGGTACTCCTGTGTGAGGTAAGAGGTTAGATGGGGACCAGATGACTTCAGAGTTTCCTTCCATCTCAGAAATTGGATTAGTTCTGACATCTCACAATACTTGGTGTAATAAAACGCCCTCAGGAATGTTGGACGTGAAAAAAATCTGTCTCTTCAGCTCCTCCTTTTTCCCCCTTTCATTTTCCCTCACTGTTACAGCAAAGGCAAAGTACCTACGTGAGGAAAGCTGTTCTCTTTCTCAAGTCTGTGTTTCTTTACTCTTGGAGTCTCACATCATCCCTGGGTGAGGATGATAATTTAAAGGATAGTCACTTTCTTAGCCATATTACCATTTTGATACCTTTTTGAAAGGAACTGCACACACACACACACACACACACACACACACACACACACACACACACAAAATGAAAAATAACACTTAAAGGTGGTGGTGGTGGGGGAGCCAGCCTGAACCAGCTGGAGGCATCTTAAAAATGTTTAGTGTGAGTATTTACATCTCAGAAATAGGCAAATAATACAAATCTGGGCTTGATTTATTGTTTTGTTGATTGTCTAGACTTAAGAAAGTGAGGAGAAAGGGGAAAATATTAACAATGCAGATTAAGCTTACAGATTTATCATGTATACTCCACTACCCCCCTCCTTGTTAAACATCAGTACACTGCAGCTTATAGGCCATACTTGGGTTATATAATCCAGATTTAGGAGAAAAAAATTCAGCTTATAGTCAGACCAAAATAGTGGGCATTTTTGTTTAAAAGATTCTCTTCAGGCAACTGAGGCAACATCACCTTTAATTTAGCCAGAACTTTATTTTGGTAAAAACACTTGAATTGCAGAAATTGAATATAGGTAAGTGAAACAATTAGCATTGGTTCAACCTATGGGAAGGATGGACCTACACTTTGTGCCTAAAAAGTGTTATGTACATATTTGACTCTAAAAACCACTTACACGTGTCTTCCATTTTTTTTTCTACTGAGATTTCTCTGGCCCATGATAGAAATAAAATGAAATTTTTAAAGTTGAATTTTTAATAAACTATATCTTAATTACCTAGTAGTGATATTGTTATTGAATTGTTAACTTTCAAATAAATTATTTCTTGGTTAGTTGAGTGGCACATTATTTTTGTTTAGCATGTAGGATGTTTTGTAGGTTTTCTTTTGAAAACTGAAAAAAAAAGACCAGTTTTTTTGAATGAGAGGGTTATTCCTTGTTGTCCATTTAAGTCAGAGGTCTGTGAATTTGTTTTAAAAAATACGTTGATGGTTGTATTTTAATAAAATTGCTTTCCTTAGTAATCCTGTACAATTAAAAACATTACTCCAGAAAGGGATCCAAAGGATTCACAAGATTGCCAGAGAGGTCTGACACAAAAAAGATGAAGAACCCCTAATTTAAGTCATTTTAGAGACACCTAAACATTGGCAGATCTCTAAGGTGGTATTAGCTAATTATAGCATGGATGTAGCTGGTTAGGATTTGACAGTCCTTGGGTTTTGAATGAGAATTTTATGAAATCTCCCTGCCTGGAGTTCCCCTACCAGAGCAAGCTCCAGTGTCTTGACCATTTGTCTTATCTCATAAACCCACAGTTCTTTTGGGACTGATGATGACACTCACTCCCTAGGGTCAGAGCTGGGAGTGATATTGGCTTTGGGGTGAGCCGCCTTCTTGTTCTGCCGTACCCAGGGATGCTGTTTATAGCGGCTGCACCACCTCCCTATGCTCTTTCCAACCCTTCTTTACCTTGTTTTCACACTGTCAGCCTAACGTCCTAAGATTGGGTTCTGTGCCTCTGGCACTCTGTCAAGACATCACAGTAGAACTTCAGAATTGGAAGGGACTTTAGAAACAATTTACTCCAACTCATGGCAGTTCTTCCTGCTGTCAAGCCTAAGTTTGCCTTTTTGCAGCTTCTACCTATTCCTCCTACTTTTCCTCATTGAAACCAAACTGAACAAGGGTAACCCGTCTTCCACATGACAAATCTTGAAATCCACAAAGAGAGCTACATTGCTCCTCCCTTTCCCATGAATTTCCTGTCCTGGCTAAACATCCCCATTTTCTTCAGCCAGTGTTCATACTGTGTGGTCCTTAGGTCCTCCGCCTTCGTAGCTGCCTTCCTTGGACACTCACTGGCCTATCAAGTGTCCTTCCTAAATTTTGGCAACTGAAATGAGTGCAACGTTTCAGATGTCTGACCAGGGTAGAATATATATAGATTATCACCTCCTTGTTCTGGAAGCTGTGCTCCTCTGTATTCAGCTTAAGATCACATTAAATGTTTTTGTAGGAATGTCACACTTTTGACTCATTGTACTTACAAGCCACTCAAACTCCTAGCTCTTTTACAGATGAACTGCTGCTGTCTTGTATTTTTGAAGTTAATTTTTTCAAACCCAAGTATATGACTTTACATTTATCCCTGTTACATTTCATTTTATTAGATTCAGACCAACAAGATAAGATCTTTTTTGATCCTGACTCTGTCATACAGAGTGACTATCTGTTCTAGCTTTGTGTCATCTGCAAATTTGGTAGGGGTTCTATCTATGCCTTCCATTGATAAGAATGTTAAGCAGCATTTGGCCAAGCATTCATTCCTTCCAACTCCACTGGAGAACTCCTTCCAAGTTGATATCAAATGATTAGTGACTATCCTTTCAGTCCAGCCTTTCAGCCACTTCTAGATAGACACCTAACTCATATCTCTCTATAATTTCCCCAAGAATAGCATGAAATATGTATTCAAATACTTTGTTAAAGACTAGGTAAACAGCATTCCCCTAATCTGTGAGTCTAGTGACGCTATTTAAAGAAAAGAAAATAAGGCTAGTATAAATAAATGTTGCTGACTGCTGAATTAAATTATACATTTATTAATAGTTGAAAATTTGACTACACTTTCAGAAAATGTGGAAAAAAACAAGTATCTTACGGTTTGTCCCTAGAGAATAAATTACCCAGTGGGAGGATCTGGCTGGTTGGGAGTATTTTAATATTCCATTTTGTTTAGCTTATTAAAATACATTATTAAAAATGATAAAACATAAGTTAATACAAAACATTTTTTTAGGTCCTTCTGTTCCCACATCCTCTGCTCCTCCTTTCCCCCACTGAGAGCCCAGCTGTAATAGTTGTCAGTGCGTGAAAAATGGAGTCATAAATGAAGGAAACTAAAATTGTGTTGCCATGTTAATGTAATAATGTAATCTTAAATTTAAGTCCTGGTTCTGCCACTACCTCTCTGCCCTTCCAAGTATTTACTTTAAGCTTTATTCAGTGTTTAGGTTTTTATCCTTCCTTGAGTTGAATGATGGTCTCCATGAGAATGATTTATTTGTAAAGTACATTGAGGTTCTGGGTTGAAAGGTTTTATGGAAATTGTTAGTGGCTGCAAGTGGCATAGCAGATAGAGAGTTGGCCTTAGAACCAGGACCACATGAGTTCAAGTCTCACCTCTGACATATCCACACTGTGTGAACTTGGATGAGTTATTTTTTAGTGCTGTAGGCAAGAGGCAGCAAATGTGGGGCCAGAGTCTGGCTAGAAACAGATTAAAATGTGATTGAGACATATTTAGCAAAATAAATAAAAATACAGTAAAACATAGATAATGTCACATTCCAGCCCCAGGGATCCTCTTGTATGGTAGTGGCCCCTGGTTCTATTTGAGTTTGATACCACTACTCTGAGTAAAGCTTTAAAAACCGGAAGTTATAAAGAAGGTACTGGCTGGCCTGTGTGGTAGAAGTTCCTCACCAGGCGCTCCTTATGCCACTAAAATTACAGGCTCAGTTCCTGTCCCTTTCCAGCTGTAATGCCCTAATTTGTGTTCATATTGACTTAGGGTTTTTTTTTTTTTAAAGCAGAGAGATTGAAATAAAAAGTAAACTAGACTTCCCTACCTCCACCCCCTTTTCAATCAGGGCTTTAAATTTGCGTGATAAAATCAAACATGAAATTTAAGTATGTTATTTAAGACAAACTTCAACTGGCCACATAGGCAATCAGTTGGTTGCACAGGCAGGTGAAGCCGCTTGCAGATATGAGGCATCTGCCCTTGGGTAAAGTCCCAAGGTGCCAGCATGGAGGTTTTTTACAGTCATAGACTTGGCTGCAAACAATATGAAGAAAATGTAAAATGTGCTTTCCTTTCTTTTCAGTGGGTGGTCCCAGAATTGATTGGCCACACTATTGTTACCATATTAATGCTTATTTCATTGCACTGGTTCATTTTTCTCCTCAACTTGCCTGTTGCTACCTGGAATATATATCGGTGAGTACAGCATATTTAGTTTTTTCATTAGGGCAGGTTTTTGGCCTAGAGTAGTAAAAATGAGGGTGTACTAAGCCACATTTGAAAGTTAGCCAAAACATTTATTGTACTTTTTTAAAATGGCCTACTCTTAATAAGGGGTTATTAGATAATATAGTAAATGAAAGAAGGATTCGTTATTCCTTGTGTAATATGTATTGTTTACTTGAATTGTTTACTTTGGAGTGGGAAAATAGCTATTTTCAAGATTATATTCTGGGGGAAAGGCATAAATTTGTATTATGTAAATATTTTTTCAAGTCTGTAATATTTAACTATCATAAACTTGAAAAAATGTTTTTCATTCAGTACTTAATTCTTTCAGGGAAAAAGTTTTCAAACTGACTGAAAATGTTGGACTTTTTGTTGCATTTAATATCTATAGGCATGGATTAGTCCAAACCACAGAAGATCCATAGGTTATTGCAGACCTTATATTATATATTGTAACATGGAAATTAGATAACTGTAACAATTACTAAAGCCTTGACTTAAACATATAGTTTTGTTCAAATATAGCAAATTGGAAATACCCCCATAGTTCAAAGAATATACAGAATATTTTCTAACTTGAAAAGAACTCTGAAATAACAACAGTGCTTAAAATCACATTTGTAATGGTAATAGTTCAGTGCTTTTGGAAACTTTTAGCCCTTTTCTTTTGTATTTATGTCTAGCTGGTTTGAGTAAAACAGAAATTTTCTTAGCATGATCAATTGACTGAGTGTTGCTTTCTTATTTTAAGAGGTCTTTTCTTTCCATTTACATTGTTACTCCTTTAGTTAAGACTCTCTTCACTCAGAAATTAATGTCTTCTGTTCTGAAATCATCTTCAGATTTCTTCCTCCCTCACTCAGAGAGCCATCCCTTGTAACAAAGAAGATTAAAGGGAAAAAAAGTTTCTGCAAAACTAACATATCATTTGAGTCTGAAAATATATGCAATATTTATACCCTTAGTCACTTACCTCCCTGGTGAAGGGAGGTACATTTTCTCATCTTGTTTTTCAGGTGAAGCGTGTTGTTATATGTCTAGTAGATAGTGATCAGTTTGATTTATTTTTTTGATCACTTACATTGTTGCAGTTATTGTGAATATTATTTTTTCATACTGCTTACTACATTTTGTATCAGTTCATATATTTTCATGCTTCTCTGTATTCTTCTTATTTGTCCTTTCTTATAGCATAGTAATATTTCATTACATTTATGCACCACAGTTTGTTAACTTTTTCCCATTCAGTGGGCACCTACTTTGCTTCTGATTCTTTGTTATCACAAAGAGTGATGTAACAAATATTTTGGTGTAAATGAGACTTTTTATTCTATTTTTGTCTTCCATGGGGCATGGATCTAGCAGTGGGATCTATAACTTAAAAGTTTCTGAACATTTGAGTCACTTTTTCAGCATAATTCCAACTTGCTTTCTAGAATCATTGGATTAATTCACTGCTCCCCCAGCAGAGTACTGATGTGCTTGTTTTCCCACAGCCCTTCCAACATTGTATTATTCCTATCATTTGATATCTTTGTGAATTTGCTGGTGAGATAAAATCTCAAGTGATATTTTGATTTGCATTTTAAAAAATTATAGTGACTTAGAGCTGTTTCATGGGTTGTTAATAATTTGTAATTCTTATTTTGAGAATTGTTTGTTAAAAACTTTTGACTACTTATCCTTTGGAGAATGGCTCTTGATTATAATACATATGTATGTTAATTCCATTTACATCTTGGATATCAGACAAGAATATTTCTGAAATGACTTTTTCTTGTGCGGTGGTTTCCCCTCTTATTTTTGTTGCATTGATTTTGTTTGTTCAAAAACTTTTTGATATTATATAGTCTAATTTATTTTAATTCTTTAATTGCCTTTATCCTTTTTTTGGTTAAGAATTCTCTCACTACCTACAGTTGTTGGTGATAATGTTTTTCGCTTTTTTTGGTGTATGTGATGTGACCTTTTATTATGTTTTTAAGGTTTCCATTTGGGATTTGTTATGATATATAGTATAAATACAGACCTATATTTTTGAGGGTTTTTTTTTATTTTGTTTTTGCCAAACAGTTTTCCCATTTATGGCCAAATAGGGAATTAATCCCTAGGTAGTTTGTGTTCTTGGTTAATTGAAATTAGTTATTTCTGATTCCTACTTATCTAATTTGTTCCACCAATCTTCTTTTGTGTTTTTTTAGCTGGTACCGTAATGTTTTGATGGTTACTGCTTATAATATATTTTAGATCTTACCCCTTCGTTTCTACTTTTTGTCATTATTCCTTAGAGATTTTAGGCCTTTTGCTCCTGCAAATGAATTTGTTAAGCTTTATAAAGTGTTTTCTTAGTAGTTTCATTGGCATATTAAATCTGTAAATCAGAAAATTACTTTTTATCTTTGTCAGATAGACTTGAGCAGAATCAGCATGTTTATGTCTCCTAGATCCACCCACTGACCTTGAACTCAGTGCTAGATAAATCAAGAACCCACTACATCTAAAGTGCTGTCTCGTTCTGACCATAACACACTGTAGAAGAGCTACAGTGGGTACTGAAATCTTTAGTCTCTAGGTCTTGGGTATACTCTTAACTAACCACAAACCATACCATCAGGAGCTTAATGCGTGCAAGTGCTTACTTATCTTATTGGAAACTGAAATATACATGGAAGAAATTAAGAGCTCTGAAGTAGCCACCTTTGTACTTTTAGTTAGATTGCAACAGAAGAAGGCACTCCCTTTGGTTGCTTTTGGCTGTCAAGTCCAAAGATCCTCCTTCCTTGTAATTACATAAGGACAGAATGCAAGTATGTGTGTTTGAAGGATAGGTTCTGTAAGAATACTTCAGAAGAAGAACCATTTGTGGATCTTAAGTCCATTAGATATTCAAAAATAATTTCCTCCTCAGTTTGTCAATCAAATATTTATTAAACATCTGCTGTGGACAAAGCTTTATGCCAAACACTGTGGGGGGAGACAAGAAAAGTTATAAAATGTGGTCCCTGGCCACAATGACCTCATTTCTGAAACAAGATATAAATACATGGAAAATTAAATAACAATACAAGCATGAAATAGACGTCCCAAGAGAGTGCACACCTCATTGCCAAATAAGTGATATTGTCAGTATATGGAATAAGAGAGGAGGATGAGATCACCATGTCACCTGAGCATGGCCTTAAAGAATAAATAGGATTTAGGCATGTCATAAGCAAAACACAGAGGCAGGAAATTTGCCTAGATCATATTTTTATAAAGAATAATGGAAGAGAACACGGGAAAGTAGTAAGTAGTATTTATGTAGCACTTTAAGATTTCCAAAGCACTTTACAAATATCTCATTTTATCCTCACAACAACTCTGGGAAGTAGGTACCATTATTATTCCCATTTTTCAAATGGGGAAACTAAGGCAGGCAGCAGTTAAGTGACTTGGCCTACCATCTCACACCTAGTAGCTGACTGAGGCTGAATTTGAACTTGGATCTTCCTGACTCCAGGTCTAGTGCTTTATCTACTCTTCCTTCTAAGTGCTTAGGTAGGTTATGGAATCGTTGTAGAGTTCCAAGTGAAGGAGTTAGACCTTAATTCTTTAGGCCAGTGGTGTCAGACTCAGACAGGAGCCACTGAACTAAAAATGGGAGTCTCTAAACCGTACATAAAAATCTCTGAAAGCCACATATCGAGTGAGAAAACCTAATGTTAATATCATCTATGTTTTATTGTATTTTTATTTATTTTGCCACATGTTTCCCAATTACATTTTAATCTGATCTGGGCTGCACTCAGGAGTGTTGTGGGCTTCATGCCTGACACTTCTGCTTTAGGCAATGGACCGCTGTTCTTCCCAGGAAGAAGGAGAGGCACTGATTCCAAATGCCCTATGGGAGTTCCCTCCTGTAACTAAAGGAATATCTAACATAAATTGCAGACTAGAAGACAGCTTATTTGGGGGAGGGATAGTTAATAGGACCATAGATTTGCAGCTGGACCTCAGAGGCTATTAATTTCAGTCCGCTTATTTTACGGATAAGGAAACAGGCCAACGAAGTTAGTCATTGGACTTACTCAGGCTCATAGAAATAGTGAGCTTCAGAGGCAAGATTTGAACCCCTGTCTATCCTCTGACTCTTTTTCAGGCTTTCTTAATCTTAGTTTCTTCCCTTTGAGACTACCCCCAACTTACCCCGGCTCTGTCTTGTTTGTTGACAGTTGTTTACATGCTGTCTCCCGTTTTTAGACTATGAGCTCCTTGTGAGCAGGGACTGTTTGTTTTTGTTTTAAAAAAAAATTTTTTTTTTTTGCCTTTCTTTGTATCCCTAGTGCTTAGCACAATGCCTGGCACATAGTAGATGCTTCATAAATGCTAGTTGACTGATAGCTTATTCACCCTTTATATCCAATTAGTTGCCAGATCTTATTGATTTTAACTCCACAATATGCCTCCCAAGACCACTTCTGCTCACCTGGCTTCCAAATGATGTGAGGAGTGATCTTTCCTCACTTATACCTTATATACAGATTGGGAGAGGTTTTGGTGCTAATAATACAAGTGCATGGGAATGATGAGAGCTATCATGGCTATCAACTTGTTTGCTTTCCTGCCATTTTACCAGCTGCTATTCTGCTCTGGCAATGACTAGGAATTGACTAAGTTTCATTGTAGAGTTCCAACTGAAGGAGTTCTATAGAAGCCTTATATACATTACTTCCCAAAATTTTTAACAAAATCATTTTCCTTTCTCTTGTGCTACTTTTGTCCCAATTACACTAGTTTAGTCCCTCATCACCTCTTGCCTGGAGTATTAAAGTAACCTCCTAATTGATCTCCTGGCCTTTAGCCCCTCCTGTTTCTATCTCATCCTCCACATGACTGCCGAGATATATATAACTACACAATGAATCTGCTAACGTGAAGAAGCTGGAAAGGTTCTCTCTTTTGGGTAGAATAAAATATAAACTCTTCTGATTGGCTTTTCACCATAGCTTGAGCCAGCCTTTCTAGGCTTCCTGTCACAATGAGGCTTTGCCCTGCCTTTCAAAGCTTATCCCTGTTACTGTCTTTTATCATTCTATGTGCCAGCCAGATTGGCCCACCTGTATTCTCTATACCTGATACCACATCGTGTGTGTGTCACTGTGCCTTCACACAGGCGTCCCTCATGTCTGGAGTGAACCCTCTTCACCTCTGCCTCTGAGAATCCCTTGCTTCTTTCAAAGTTCAACCCAAGTACCTCATCCTATAGGAAACTTATCCTGATATCTCCAATTGTTACTTCCCTTGCCTCAGAATTTACTCTGTGTATAGTTTGTATTGAATTTTTTGTATACATGTGTTTCCTCCCAATAGAGTGTAAGCTCTTTGAGGGCAGGCATTGTTTTTGTATTTTTCTTCTAACTTACCCTATACACTTTATTAATCTTTTTAAAAAAATCACTTTTATTGTATTACCTCCTTCTATAAACCCTTTAATTCAGTAATTTATTAAATTCTATTACTGTGCAAAGTGCTGAGGCTACTTTTTCTAATGGAGTACATGAAGGATGGGGACAATGAGAAAACATTATTTAGAATTGGAAGGGACTATAGAGACCCTCAGAAAGAAGTCTGAGGACTAAACCTTGGGGAATGTTCACATTTTGAGGCAGGAAGAAGCAGCGCCAATGAAAGAAGATAGTTATACTTTTATTAGAAATGTTAGGATAGTGCGTGTATGTATGTATGTTTGTATATACACACATATGCATGTATCCATACACATATGTATGTATTTATAATAATAATAGCCAGTGTTTATGTAGTGCTTTAAGGCTTGTAAGATGCTTTATGTATATTTTCTTATTTGATCCTCATTACAATCCTATGAGGTAGGTATTATTTTACAGATAAGGAAATAGAGGCTGAGAGAGATTAGGTGATTTGCCCAGCATAATTCAGGTACAAAGTGAAGTGGGATTTGAACACAAGTATTCCCCTCTCCAAGTGCTTTATTCACTATCCCAACCTGCCTGAGACTAAATTTGAACACAAGCTTAGCCAGTTATACACTTTGATCATATTAAAAGACTGAAATTTGACTCAATATCCTCATTTATGAGACTCAGTTTAAGAGGGATCATGCGTATCAAAATAATTATTTTTCATGAAGTTGTTTTTAAAGTATTTTATTTTAATTGACTTGTAGTCGGTGGGTATATTGCTATTTGGGTTCTTTATGTTATTCATATTTTAATTTCTTATGGTATATTAAAATACCATGTTCTGTAAAGCCATTCTGCAGTCATTGGACATAGAATTTGTTTCTTCATTCCTTTCTTCCCTGCTGATCCCCTCTATTATACATAGTTTTAGTAGTAATATTTTTGTTCAGATACATTGAATTTCCTACTAATAATCTCTTTACAGTATATTCTTAGTAATTGGATCAACTGGTCAATGGGTATGAACATTTTTTATTCTTTAATCTCCCAGGTTCATTATGGTACCAAGTGGGAACATGGGAGTGTTTGATCCTACAGAGATACACAACCGAGGGCAGTTGAAGTCACACATGAAGGAAGCCATGATCAAGCTTGGTTTTCATTTGCTTTGTTTCTTTATGTACCTTTATAGGTAAGTCTAATATCACTGGGATTTTCCTGTATACCAGGGAATTTTATTTTTAATGTTCGACATACTAGAGCATAGACGATTTTTGCATTGACACGGAAAGCAAAGGTGACTTTAGAGATTACTTGTATTTCTTTTAGTTGTGCAGAGTTATCATTTTCATTATATCTATATCCCAGACATGAGTTTTCACTTCATGACAAACTCACTGAATTCTGTGTCCTGGGCAGAATTCGTAGTGCCGCTGGCACCAACAACAGTGGGTCAGTTTGGCATTCCCAAGACAACTTCTGCTCATCCAGCTTCTGTTATCTCCAGATTGAGAGTAATTGGGAATCACCAGAAACCCTACATATTTCTTCTCGCAATTTCAAACATGAAATCCTTTCCTTTGTCTTCCTTGTTACCTTTATGTGCTTTTACTTTTATTCTCCAGGACAAGGGAATGAAAGAATCTAAAATCTTATGTGTGTATTTGGGTAAACTACTTGATTTGACTTGTGAAAAACATTCTTTGTGAACCTGGAAATTAGGATAGGGTATTGTTTCAAAACTTAGGAGGCTTGTTTCTTTTTCCCTCTAGGTACTCACAAATCTTAGGTAAACAAAGGAAATACATTAGGAACAGCATGGATTGAATACTAGAGAATACTAGATTTAAAGTCAGGAAGTCGTGGGTTTGAATTCTACCTCTGATGTATGCCACCTGAGTAGGCAAGTCATTCATCCTTCTGAGCCTCAGGCAACATTCTGGGATTTTAAATTGAAAAGAGTTGTGATGTATAACAGTGGAAAGGCTTCCACTGTTAATGAAATAGATTGACATATATGTCAAGATTTAGAACTTTTACCATGTGCAGATTCCTAATGGTCATGTTACTAGAAAGCAATGACAGATTTTATAAATTGCCTTTGTTTGGGCCACTGAGGAAGCATGGCTAACATTTAAATAGCATTTCAGGGTCTTTACATGTATCATATTTGAATCTCACAGCATGTGAGGAAGATACAACCTGTGTTATCTTACAGATGAGGAAATGAAGGCTTAGAGAGGTTATTTGTCTGGATTCAAAGAGCAAGTAAGTGCTAGAGGAGAGATTAGAACCCAGGTCTGACTCCAAGCCAAGCACTCTGTATAGATGGAAAGGAGTAAAAAATTATGCATATAATTGTTTTATTTGACATTTACTTAATAGGCAAGAGGAGGGAGAATTTTTCTTATTTTTTTAAATTAAATTGCCCTCCTATGTTTTTCCTTTTTTATATCGGATGGAGTTAAACATTTAATTCGATCTTTGAATGAAACATCTTAGAAGTCATGGCCATTATGTTCCGCTCTACAGTGCCCATTTTCTAAAATCCTGTTACTGTACTGATACTGTAACTTATTGATGTAGATTATGTTGAAATTAGAATTTATTTGGTTTACTTTTCATCATCCACCTAATTTGTCTTTTTTATATCTTTACTTTTTAAGACAGAAAATATCTGTCACCTATCCCATTTACATATATATAAAAAAACCCTTCAAATACCAAAAATGAAAATTGAAGACTAAATAAATTTTCTATTGAAGACCTGCTTCATTTAATTTCATTTCAGCAAACATGGAAATAAACTTGTTCCCAATGAGTTTGGTAATTCTGCCTGTTTCTCTGCTGTTAAAACGTTTACCTTTTGGATCTTAGACTACATGCACTTTTCCTGCCAACATTTGGGGCTCTTATGACAGTGCACTGAATTATATATGGCAGGCACTTCAATGTATGTTGAATTATTCAGTTAAATGTACATGCATATGTTCAGACTCAGTCTGAATTAAACAGAAAACAAACTGGTTTCAGGCCTTCCATATCTGCTTAAGTCCTTTACTTCTCTGAAAATCTGGCTCAGGTACCATCTTCAAGTCTTCTCTGATGCACCCCAATTGAAATCTCTTCTTCCTGCCTTATATTTCTTGTAGTCCTTTAGACATAGGTTGGGGAACCTATGGCCTCAAGGCCACATGTGGCCCCCTAGGTCCTCCAGTGCAGCCTTTTGACTGAGTCCAAGTTTTACAGAACAGATCCTTTCATGAAGGGGATCTGTTTTGTGAAGTTCAGTCAAAAGGCTGCACCCAAAGACCTAGAAGGCCACAAGTTCCCCACCTCTGATTCTAGAGTCTAGACTCTAGATCTTCCTTTGTCCTGATGATATTCTAGGTACTTGATACATAATTTGTTTACAGTCTACTAAGGGATAAAATATAAACTTTTTGAGGGGATTTTTGTCATCTTAATCAAGTTTCTGTACACATTTCCTTTTCACATTGGTTTAGGTTATATTCTCAAGTTTACCATTTACCTTTAACTTCAAATGAAAATGAGTCAGTCAGTTAACAAGGATTTATTAAACACTTACTATGTATGGACTTCAATATGTTCTGCTCTATTTAGGTCCAGATTTTTCTAATCAAAACAGTATTACCTGCTGAGCTCTACAGATTCAAAGTAGGAATTCTGTTGTATAGTTGAAAGTGGTTGGACAACTCTTGTAGGTCCTCCTTAAACACATGTTAACAATAATCTCTTTTCTTTACAGTATGATTCTGGCTTTGATAAATGACTGAACCTGGAAGGAGATGCCTAACTTGGAGACTCACACTACAGTGAAAGTTGAGGAGCCAGAGATGAGTTTAGTCCATACCTAGACTGTGTTCATTAAGCAGTATATTTTTTTCCTCTTTGGACAAAAAAAAAAAACCAAACAACCCAAAAAACTATTTTTGCTGTATTTTTACCACATAAAGTATTTAAAAAACATGAACTGAGTTCTTGTAGATTTGTGGTTCTCAGCCTCACCACTAGCACACGTAATCAAGGCACCCATTTGATCTTCTCTGTGTTGAAAATCATCATTTGTTGAAGGAATGGTACTATTAATTGAAGAATTGCAAGCCAAAGAAATAAAGAATAAATATAACGAGAAAAGTTACTTGGATTAGCAAAAAATATCCCTAAATTCACAGTAATAAGACAGAGCTCACCATGTCAGTGTCAGTCTGGCTAAAAGAAAATTATCTGTCTTCTTTCCCTATAATTCTACAATTTCATGTATTTAATATGCTTTAAAATTTGTAAGACTTTCAACCAAAGGTTTTTTCATATGAATATTTTAAAAAAATGACATTTTAACAGAATTCTTACAGAAGCTATACAACTTTTTAAGCCATTTACCAGTGTTAACCTGTTTAAAGATAGGACAAACACAAAGAGAGCAAAAATTGTAGCCAAGGACATTTGATTAATTTAGTTGCTCCATCCACAGCTCCTTAAACACATAGTCTTAATGGCTTTCACCAGTTCTTAATTTGTTTGTCATGGTTCAAAATCATTGAACCTGCATTCATTCTTTCTTATATCCTAGTGGTTTTAGAGTGGGAATATTTATTTGGTAGATGCTGACTGAATTGTAAGCTGGGGATGACTGTAGTTGAAATCAATTTGAAATCAAGCTATTATTGTTTATCTGAAGCCAAATAAACAATAACTAGTCTACATTTACCATTGCCCTAATACTTTCACAACTACACCATAGAAATTTTATTTCATTACTCTAAATCAGTTGCAGCTGCTAAGGGGAATTAACCATATCAGCACTATTTGCCATATCTAGGTTACAATATGAATCTTTGCAATTGAATGCATAGACAGAATGTGGTTGTGGCCTCCCCAAGAATATTAATCACCATCTGCCATCAGTGCTGAGCAGCCAAATGTGCTCAAGGTTTCTGATCATTAAAAGATTAAACGGGCTACTCTCTCATGCCTATGTTAGATCCAGCCTTGGCGGTGTTGGCCACTGAACTCAAAACTCTCCACGTGGGCCAGCCCTACAATTAGGGAAATGGTGTTGTAGCAAGAGATAAAATGGGCTGTGAAGAGGTAGTGAATTCCTCAACCAGCAGGACAGAAACATGGTCCTTGTAGATACTCTATGTGCTTACAACTTATCCCTTGTAGTAATCCTGTAGTCTCCCTGCTGGGTAAAAAGCTGCAGCACTATTTTTAAAAATGCCATTTTCCTTGTACTATTTCCTCCCCCTTCTTCAATCGATTGAGGCAGGCGTTAGGGAGATGAACTAGTTAAACCCATGGTTTAACAAGCAATCCCTTTACACAGTATCCAAACAGTATACATCCAGGCACTAATTGAAGACCTCCAGCAATAGAGAACTTGTCCTTAGGCAGACCAGAGAGCTCTAAAGAACAAGAGAATTTTTTCATTTTATCAATCCCAACTCTGCTGCTATACAACTCATATCCATACTGCTAGCTCTTTCTAGACTCAAGCAAAACTAGTCTAATTCTTCACTCACAGGACAGTCTTTCAGATATATTTTTAACGGCTAAATGTCCCCCATAAATCACTTCTCTAGGTTAAATGACCCCTTTTAAAAAATCCTTGGATGGTACGGCATTAGTAAGGAAATGTGGAGAGCAAACATACACCTGCCTCTGTTAATAAAGATCCAATTATTTTTCCCTTAGGCAGCCTGAAATTCAAGCTCATCCATGCTCAAATTCAAGGGAGAAGGGGTGGATATAAGGTAGCAGCATCATGAAGCCTTGGCTTGTGATGTAAGTGGAACAGACTTCATCCATAAATTATCACTTGCATTTGGTTAACACACCATAGTTCTGAGATTTGATGGAAGTCCTGGGTTATGTTGGAAGCTGCATTGATGTGTCAGTGTTAAGAAAAGCAAAGAACCTTGGACTTCACACAACCTCTTTTCCATCACAAAGATAACAGTAGAAGGAAAAGTATTACAATTATGGTAGGTATGTGATTACTAAAACCATTAGAAAGAAAATACTTGACTAGGGCTTCTGGCTATTCATACTTCATCAAAATTACATAATACTATCTTTTGCTCCTTTTCAGTCTTGAACTAGCTTCACCCCAAACTTCTTTACAGACTTAAGAAATGTTATCAATCAGATATTTGTAGGAAAAGTTCCTACTTTTCTGATTATAAAGCTTTTCATTCATCTATAAAAACATGTAAACCCAAGATTAATCCAAAACAGCCAAGTCAATCTGTTCCCTTGCCAGCCTAGGAGGAAGTTACCATTTCACTTACAGTTCATGATAGAAGGGGATTATCTGACACTTCAGATTTTGGGGGAGATTTCAAAAGAGATCAAAGAAAGGTAGTGTCTTGAAGCCTAAAATTATCAGGGAAAGTTGGGCAAAAAGGCATGAAGAGTAATTCTTCTAACTCATCAGAAAAGGAGAAGCTGCTTAAAGATACCACAGAGTGGATGCACAGGGAACTCAAAAGAACAGATTATATTTAAAAGGACATGTAGAGAACATGGGCACACAGGTAAGTAACTTAAAATAAACGTAAAATGTTGTAGAGAAATGTTGGAAATGTTAAACTTTGGAATGAACCAACAAATGGTGAAAACAGAAAGCTTTTTAAAAGCTAGGGGCTAAAATGGAGTTGATAAGATCACTGCTGATGGGGCAACAACGATCCAGATCTTCTGATTCCAAACCCAGCACTTCATTACCTATGCCATATTCCTGCTCTTATTTTAAGCTGGAAGGGACATTATAGGTAATCTATTTCAATCTCTACATTTTATACATGAGGAAACTGGCCCAATGATGTTGAGTGAATTGTCCAAGGTGGCACAGGTAGTAAGTGGCCAAGCTGGAATTTGAACCTAGGGTCTTCCGATTCCAAATCCAGCACTTTTCATTGCTGCACTTGATATAGTCTGTTGCTAGGACTGTACTCACATGGTAGAACCCTTGAGACTTGAACTTTCCTGGCATAGCCTTAAAGATTACAAGGTTGCCTCTCCCACCAAGATTAGGCTTTCAAGTAGAACTGTGATCATTTATTAAACACCTATTTAGCACCAGTTAAGGAAAGACAAAAATAAAACAGTTCTTGCCCTCAAGGGAGTTATGTTCCACTGGGAAGATACATATATCCAGACATGTATAGGATAGCATCTAGATAGGTGATTTCATTGGCATAGGGCACTTGCAAATGAGGAGATGCCCTTTACTGATGAAGTTTGACACATTTATTTCAGTAACTCAGATTCAGAGGGTTGCCTAGGACACAGTTTAAGTGGCTTGCCTAGGGTCACAAAGCCAGTTATGTCTCTTAAGTCAGTAATTTAACTGGGAGAGAGCAGTTTCACTCAAGTGGTGACAGTGGTAGTGGCAGCAGCAGGGCTGCAAGGAACTGATAAAGTAAGAGATGGGAAGATGAGGGCAACCTTGACTAGGAATTTGACTGTGAAAGGGAGAAGAAAAGTAGGGCCTATCTTATAAGGATGGCAGGGGTTAAGTGAAAGACCAACACTTAAAAACACAAACTGTTCTTGATAATGACAATCCAAACGCCTATTTTTGAAGTAGTTTAGACCAAAGAATGTTTCTTAGAGCCACAGTACAAAGTGCTTTTGAAGTTCATAGTACTGATTTTTTTCTCTAAAGAACTCTTTAGCAGTACAAATTTCACATTATAAAACAGGTTTTATCCTGAACTTCTAAGTAGTTGTTTTCTCCGCTTGTTCCTGAATAGGGACTGCTGTTTGTGAGAGCTACAGAGCCAAAATGCTTTCCTAAAATTTGCTTAAACCTTCCAATAAAGGCATCCATGTTGTGCCCAATGTCAATTAACAAAGGGTTCTCTGACATTAAAGTGGTGCAATTAACATGACCTATTCTTTATACACAACATATAGAGTATGAATTCTAAATTGGGAAGATGTTAAATTCAGATCCTACCAATTGAAGTTAATAATATATAAATGGTTTCTAAGTAAAAAGTGTTAATACTGAAAAAATCCAGGGAGGATTAACACACTAAATTCAGTTATTCATTCTGTTTATTGAATTGAAAGAAAGGGAATACAAACAATTTGTTAAGTGCTGTGCACTGACATGGAAAAAGTGTAATTATTATTTTTTTAAAAACCCTAGTAAAACAAATCAAAAGTTAATGTTTCAATTGAACAAAAAAAATCTTTTAAAGATGTTTAATATACTACACATTTATAAAATAAAAAAAGTTAACATAGGGTATCCTGTAAATAATTAGTAAAACAAGTGAAAATAAATAGAGACCCAAAGTTCTTATGCTTTAATATAGCAAAGAAATTTTAAACTACTAAATATAATCTGAGGAAAGTAACAAAAAAAAAACCCAGAAAATTTAAGAACGCAATCCTTTGAAACATTTAATATCAGTCCATAGCAAATAGTCATTACATACCCAAAGCTCTAAGTGTTAACTAGTTCCACCACAACTTCATAAAACTCTTGACAATTTAGAAATCTTGGGATCAACAATAAAGTTCTTTTCTTGATCTCTACAGCTTGGTTTGTAAGTACACACATGCTTTGTGGATCCTTTTTTTCCCCATACATTTTCAAGGAGCCAACAAGTTTTTTCCATCTGTGCCTAAAAATGTTAAGATTCAATTCTAGCACATTTGCCCTAATAATGAAAATGTTTAAGTAAAAGATGGGGCACATTTAATTTCAAGCTTATAAAAATATACTAGTATTATTAACCAAACCTTAAAGTCAGAGAGGGCACTTCACATATGCACAAGACTTGAAAAGTTTTTAATAAAACATGACAAGTACCTAGAACAGCTGGTTCCATGACTTATGTAGTCCTCTCTATTTTTCTTTCATACACACATGCACACAACACACACACACTTTTTTAAATATTCCTTCAACTATTTTGTTTCAATGAATCCAGATTACCTGGACTAGGAAGGTAGGAAATGGGATTTATAATTTTTATTTTAGCAACTAGAGGGCAGCTACTATAGCAATAGCTTAACACCACTGAAAATTTTCAATTACTATCCTATTTTTAGAAATTATCTAAGTGTTAATGAAATTTTGCTTTTTTCTTTTAAAGTAGCAGTTTCCATTAAACCACAGTTACTAAAATGGACTCAGATACTCAATTTTTGAAGGGGGAACCAAAAAAAGGATTCTTGCTACTAAATTAAATTGTAGAAAACAAACTGAAATAAATCAAATGCAGATTTTATACATTTTGGAATTGGGGCAATAAAGGATATTAAGAAAAATGTCTTCTTTCTCCCCATTCAAAATCAGCCATTCTTCTGCTGTGAAAGATATGACATGGATATTTTTCCCTTCAGTGTATCAAAAGATGTACCATACATTTACCCACTGTGAGGCAGAGGTGGTAAGGTCAGTTCTGGTTTGCAGGAACCAACATCCTAAAAAAGAAAATTTCAAGATGGGGAGGGGGTGGGAAAGAAGAATTTTCTATTAATGTCATGAAATGCCACTAGAGGCAAAACACTCCTAACAGCAAATCACTTAAACATTACGTGTGTTATTTCAGAGTAAGAAAAATACCAATGAATTGGATGGTTTAATTTCAAGCTTAATGGTTTAATTGAAGCTTCCTTCAAATGTTTATCGTTTGTATTTATAACTAGGAAATTCTCTTCCCTTTGGCTAGACCATAGCCCCAAATGAAGTTGTGCTCCATCTTTAAACTACTTACCTTATTCAGTGTTACTCAGAATTTACCTCGCCAATGAGAACATAAATGTAGTTGCCGTGACTTTTATCATATACTATTAAAATAAAAAATAAAACTTATTCTGAATATCCCATTACCCCTTCCCCAATTCTACCCCCCCGGGGAGAACCTCCATAACCCTAAAATTTGAGTATTTTCTATTGACAAATTATTTGGGAATAAGAATCTTTCATCATTGCTCTGGCCCTTAAAAATACCAGACAAGAAACATTTTTAAGCACATGGAAATTATCTGCTACTAACCTGATTTTTTGTCAGTCAAAATCTCCATTTTCATATGTGCAAAAAGTATTGGTACTTTTCATTTCACACATTTACTAATATCTTGTGGTTGGCTTGCTAGAAATTTAAGTTGCTTTTCTTCTTTATCTTATTAAAAATTCTACAGCAGTTATCAGAAGTTTGCAATTACTGTCTGTGGACTTATTGATTAATCTGCTGGCAGGGTTTAAGTACCATAAAATCCTAGATTGCTTCCCCATACAAATTTGACCTTTCTATCACAGTCACTAACTGGTAATATGTAAGAAACAGATGTTAACAATAAATTGGCACAGCAAAGTACCAGAGAGTACAGGAAACTGTCAGTAAGACAATACACTTGGAAAATGAACTCGCCTAGCTGCTATAGAAACCTTTGCATAGTTAGTTGTGTTGCTCTACTTGAATAGAGCTATGTTCCTGTAAAATGGGCCTCACATCTCTGCTTTTGAAGCATTCTTACTGGACTGTACTTTAAAAGTGCACTTTGAAAATTCACAAATTATGTAGGAGGGGCTGGTCAGAGAGGGATTTTTTTTGTTCTATCCAGATTGCCTCTTGAAAGGGCATGAATTTCAATGTTACAAATGTACCCATAGCACTCTTGTAACCAAACTTGTAAACAGCTGTGGAATTTCTACAGCTCATAATTTACTAGAGATGTTACTGCAGAGACTAGGGTGTATTAACGGCTTCAGGGTATACACAAATCATTTAAAATATGAATGGTCTGAACTGTACTGAGGTAAAGAGAAGTTGCCACTTAGTTATATACAATTACCAATAGATTTTTATTCAAGCTTAAAGTAAAAAGTAATTTTAGTTAAGAAAAATGAAGTACCAGATAAGCTGTAACATATAGTTCTTATTCTAACTCAGAAGTATCAAAACAGACAGGAATTCTTTGATTCTCTAAGTGGCGATCTCTGCAAAATGGAGAGTAAAGACACTATGAAAATCTTTAAGGTTATATACCAATTTGATAAATAATCTGTTGACCACGATCTATTAATTTCTCTCTTACTGCAAGCTTTGGGGAGAATCTGTTATTTTAAGGCCAATTTGTGTTTCTCTCTCCTCCCCCACCCCCACATTATTCCTCCCACCAACCGAGTTTTCCCCCCCTCCCCCCAAATAATGGAAGAATCCGTGATATCCAAGCCACCCATGCCTTTTCCTTCCCCATGTGGTTTCTGGAAAAGTCTATCCACAGTAGTTAACTATAGTGTAGATGACTGGTCCTAAAAGAACCTGTAACTCCAGTTCAAGACTTCTACTGATCATGATCTTTCACTCTGGGTTCATCCTGATACCTTCTCCCCTAACCAAAACCTGTGGTCTACCCTATCTATCTTGTCCTTTATCTGAAAAAGAAGAGAATTTCAAGGGAGACCAAGTGTGCCATATTCAACTTATGATGGGGTAAAAAGCACAACATGAACATCAGGCTCTTGGCTTATTTTCAGAAGTGTAAAATATTCAAAATAAAAGTGCTTATTTGTTTTTGGTTTTTTTGTTTTTTACAAAGGAAACCATTCCTTATATTTAAAAACAAAAACCAGAAAAAAGAAATCTATCCACAGCACCAGTTTAGAATGAGGTCCAGTATGGCATTATTTTTAACTTCAACTTAAAAGGGATACTCTTTAAATCTATGAATCCCTACAGATCAAAACATTAAGGAAAAATTTCTAAGTAATATAGGGGAAAATGGATGTTTATAAACTCAATATGCATTATAATCTGGATATGGCCCTCTTCTTAAATTACTTTTGAGATTTAAAAAATGTAGCCAAGATTGTAGCATTTCTCTACATTTCTACTCTTTTTCATCTTTTTTTATTTTCAATTTCATGAAAAACTTGGATAAGCTTTTGAGAAATTCTAAGTTTACCTTTGTTCTATTCTATCATGTTGGTTGTGCATCTAGAAGTTATTTTTTATTCAGTATTTTTAAGATGAGTGATGGCTGTAAGAACAAAAACAAAAGACCTCAAAAATTTTACTCTTAATTGCCTGTAAAGTCCTTCTGAGCACTGTTTCTGACCATGTCTTGTATGGTACTCCAGAAGATCATCAGTTATACTGCATATCTATGTCACAGATGACACTGTTTTTAAGCTGGTTTAAGTTCCAAATGTATACAAATGAAGTCACTTTAATCCTATAAATACTTCTTAATTTATTTAAAAAAAATTGTGCTGTTAACCCTTTACGGGGCAACGAGCTATGTGAAAAGTACAAAACTTTTTGTCAAATGTGATATTGAGAGTGCTTTTGACATAGTTCACTGGTTTATCATCTGGATCAGTATATACTGCGCAACGGGCAAGGCTAGAATCCATGAACCAAGCTGCAAAGATCTCAAGCTAAATAAGGCGGAGAGATTTAGAGAAACAAGAGAAGGAAATAACTTTCCTATCCAACGTATACTCTTCAGACTAAAGCACTCTTTCTATCAAGCCTTCTAAACTGTTAAATAAAGTTTTCCAAACAAGCATTTAAACTTCATTACACAGAAGAGCAACAAGAATGGTAGCCCGCCAGACAAAAAGGCAGGAAGGAAAAAAATATATATACTGAGTTCAATGGGTAGCCTGAATGTAGCACAGTTCTTCACAACCGATGGGGGGGTAATTCAACACGGTGTCCAACAACGTTCTAACGACGTGCTTCATCTCAACTGGTTACTATGAAGCAAGGTGGTAAATGTTTGGCCCCGATCGGGCTTCAGAAATGGTTCTTTTATTTTTCATGACGAGCATGTCTGTCCAGCTATCAATCATGTTTGTTTGCACCAAATCCCAAGCCATTTAAAATACGACTAATTTTAAGTTAAACAGAAGTCGTCTGCTCCGAATTCGCCATCAACTATCCATGCTACTGCATTCCTCTGAATGAAGACAAGATGAAATGTGTGTATATGGAGGAGAAAAAGAAAAAAGTTGTTGGTTAGAAATTTTAAAAATAGCATGTTACTACAAATTATAGTATCACTAATAAAATAATTTAAGTCATATTTTTGGCAACATTCATTTCAGGGCAAAATTTTTTTGATACATTTGCCTTTATACACTGGTTTAACTCCAAAGAGAAATAATTTGTTCCCATAATAACAGTTACTTGTATCACTGCTATCCCAAGTTTTATTTTAGTAGGCCATATAGACACAATAGAGACAGAGAGAGAGAGAGTACATTAAGATATTTAAATGGAGGGGTAAGATGGCGATTTGAATGCTGGCTGTTAAACATTTATTTCCCTGCAATTACCTTTTTTCACACCGCAGAAATAAGATTTAAACCAACATACCACCATATTTCACTTAAGGGACAAATACTATAGATCTTTTAACTGTCATTCCTCTCTAAATTGCCAGGTTTTTTTTTTTTTTTTTTTGGCTTTAAAAAGTTCACAAATGTAATTTGAATAGCCATTAAAAAAACCTGCACACAAAGATATACCTGTATTGCTAGAAGACATAGAATCAGGACTTGAAAAATCTTTTTTATATCTCATGTAAGATCATGAATCTCTTTTTGGCTATTTCTATACTAAAAAAGTATAGTTTTGAGATAATAACCAGTGTAATTAGAGCTAATCCTACATGCAGGTCTTGATAAATTCTAGCACTACATCACCTAGCAATTTCATCACGGGTATTTTGTGTACAATTTTACTGGAAACTACTGAAGTTCACTTTGTTCTCACTACTCATTCTTTTGTATTTTACTATCATGATGGTACAAAAAATTAAATAAAAACAAAAACCTAAAGCACACATTCCTGAATTCTCCTTGAGTTTCTCAGTCATCACTATCCTTTAGCCTACTTCAGCCTACAGTCCCAGCTAAAGTATGAGTGTATGTGTTGGCCACAAGGAGGTCTCTCTGTCCTGTAGATGACTCAGGAAACACCTCAGCAAATGTAGTCAGCTCCTTCTTTCAGTTTCCACCCCCTCCCTCCAGACGACCTTCCAAGATCCATTAAAAACCCTTCTCAGTCATCCTAGTTTAGGTTCTTAGAAGCTGAAGAGTAATGCCACCTCTCTCTTCACTGTTTTTATTCCCCTGAAAGATGAAAAGTTAATTTGGCTCCTAAATCCATTGCTGGAAGTCTTTAATCAGATGCTGGAGGATTACTTGTTAGTGACATAGATGAAACTGATTATGTGGGTAGAGGGCAAACTATAATGACCTCTCAAATCTCTTCCAACTATATGATGTGAAACAAATTTATTGAATTTTTCCTTTGTGACTACGTGGATGAAAGTCAGATAACGTGCTGGGTGATTATACCATCTCAGTGGCACCTCTAAAACAAATCACTTAAAGATCTATTCTCCTGTCACCTACATGAATTTCTTTGAAGGAAGAGCTGCCAAAGGACTAAGAGAATTATGTTAGAAAACTGCGTATCATCACAAAGTAGATCCATAAAGCATCTACCTACCCTAGAGGTTTCAGAATTGGCAATACGATAACAGATGGCAAAATGAGCCTGCCTTTTCATAGGCAGGATTTTCTAGAAGTTAAAGTCAGAATGTCCCATGATAATCTGAAGATGTGAAATTGTCAACCAAGATTCTGAGTAGAAGAAAACAACAACGACAACAAAAAAAAAAACCAACAAAAAAACTAGAACTATTCTTCTCCCTGCCTTGAGCCATTTTTTGCATAAGAGCTAAAGATAAACTATATGAAAATGCTTCTGTCATAACCAAGATCAATTTAGTTCCTTCCAAACAAGCTAAAAAATTAACATTTATAGCTAGCAATCATATTGAAACTGCCACTAAATCATCTAAGTTAAACTTTCCTGTTATCTTATCACCACATTCCATTGGTTCATCAGTGTTTTCACATTAAAATTTAACTCATCATTCTAATGCTTCTTCATCTCTGCTCTAAAGAGAAAACTTTATCTTTAAAAATTCCCTGTTAAATGAAGAAGCCCCAGCGAAGCTCAAATCCCAAGTCACATGGCTGAAGTAAGACCTTTAATAGCCAAAAACACTTTAACCACTGGAGAATTTGAGTATAAAATAGCTGCAAATTCTCCAGGTGTTCCCCCACAGCATTATTCAGCAATAGTCCAGCACACCAGGTCCAGACTAGACTCTCCTCTTCATCTCCTTAATTCTTGATCCTGCTTGACTCAGACAAGAACCCTACGAAAATCCACCAGGCTTTGCCAGTTTGGGACACCTTATTCCATCTGGGACCCCCTTGGTCTTGACCACCATCTTTCCCAACTGTCCACTTCTTAATGAATTTCTTTTTACTGTTTCATCTCATGCCACGTACTCTCTTATAGTGCTGTGCCCTTTCTTCGTACTGTACGTTGGAAGAACAAACCTCATTCATTAAGACACCACCCTGGTTTCATTTTTAGATAACATATGATTAGCATGCAACTGACATGAGGTATTAGGTAAAAAAAGTCTACAGCCAAAGTCTAAGACGGACATCTCCATTTTGTATACTGGTTAGAGATCATTTAGTTTTAGTAAAGTCATTACGTTAACTTGGACAATGTAATTTTTTTGTGTCCTTCAGTAATGAGTACAGTGCCTTACACTCTGTGAGTATTTAATAAATGTTTGCTGAATAAATAAAATTTAGGTAGCATCCATGGCAAAAAGATTTTCTAATATAGTAGAATTTGGTATATAATTACATGAGGCTGAGGGAATTCTTTCCAGTTCTACTCATAAGAACCATAAAAAGGTTGTAACTACGAAATTAAGTGACAACAATGTTTAAAAGAATATCTATGCAAGACCAGTGTACAGTACTCAAAGGATAAATTTCTCACCCCCAATACACATGCCACATACATATACTTCAAAATTATCATTGATTATTGTAACCAATATGCAAAATCCAGCTTTCATCGAAGAAAAAAACCTAAGAACGTTGTAAATGGCGTTACCTTCAATATCCTGGTTGTCTACAAAAGGTGCTGGTCCCCATATTCTAACAGTGCCATCATCTGAAGCACTGGCCATCATGGATGGAATCTGTGGGTTCCAGCTCACACAGTTAACTGTGCGTGTGTGTCCTGTTAGCTCTGCAATTGGCAGTTCACTACGTTTGTGCCAGATGTATACTTTATGATCTGAATAAAACAGCAATTCAGAGAAAAAGAAAAAAAAAAAGAGACATTTGCATAAAAGAGACATACTACCATTTGACATTTTCAAATTATCCTGTAGGCCTAACAATAATACATACAGCTACTGACTAATAACATAGCTCGACAATAAAAGAACACAGAGTTTGTGAAAAATTCTCTTAAGCAAATATTCAACACCACCATATTTCTTTGTTCGGTTTTCATCATCTTTCTTATAAAAGTGATGTGATGAAACAAACAACACTTCAAGGATCTGTGACTTTATTGCTGTGTCCCTGATTCAGAACAGTTTCTGAGAATTGCTATGGGCCAAAACATCATCTCCAGGTGGATATACACTCACTGGACCCTTATACCTTGGTAGAACATATTAGATCTTACGCTTTGGCTTAGCTTTGAGAACTTAAGTTTCCCTCTATCTCAAAAGGAGGCAACAGAGGAAGACTTGTGTAGGTACCACATCCATAATGATTTGAAAGAGATTTTCATCCATCATATTATTATGCTAACATTAAGATAACTATTTCATGAATAACATTTTAAGTTCTTTGAACCTAAGCAGGTAACAATGAGTTTTGTCTATTTATACAGTTATTGGTCACGTACCTGTTTCCACAGTATACATTTGTGACTTGTGATCATGAAGTAATGTGACTGATTTTAAAACATACACCCAAATGAACCTTGTCTTTCTCACTAGTCACATTTCAGTTTTAAGTTTCCTTTGTATCTACATCCAGTTCAAAGTGCTGTCTTACTTTATATTTTCTCTTCTTCCATTTCAATTCATATAAAGGAATTCACTTTGCAAGTTAACTACTTTCCCCCATTTATTTGTCTTCTCAAAACACACATCTACCAACATTTCTCCCACAATTTTATCAAGCCCCACCCTCTCTGGGAGGAAGAAGAAAATTTCATTTTTTACCACAGCTGTATCACAACTATAAAAGTAAATAAAATGATTTCTAAAATACTAAATAAGAGCCCCAAACTCAGATTATAGTACCAAATAACCCAAATGTCACCTCATTTATACAGTGTGCTGCAAACCATTCATTGTGTCCCCTTATAATCATGCTGGGCATACTGGTAATAGATTATTATTCCCACCTAACAAGGAAGGTTAAAAAAACAACTTCAATCCAAATCTTTTTATTCCACATCTCCTTCTCAAGTCCATAAGTCACGCAAGAAAAATCCACCCTTTTACATTATAGCTGCACTTAGTTTTTTATTTAAAATATTAACACCTACTTTGATCACTCACTTCATTGACTCGGTGATAAATGAATTAACTTAAAATCTAATGCATCTTCAAAGCATGAAGATCTGCTATTGCTGAAGGCAGTGGAGAATCAAATGCTTTTTAGCTGTGGGGGTTGAAAATCGTGAAGAGGGGCTCTGTTTCCAAAAGTTTAAAAGTTGACTGCTCACTAATTGAAGACAATAGTCCGAAAGGAGTTTAAAAAGCATTTGCAAAATATTTTGAGCAATAGCAATATTGCTGGAGTACATAGCCTTTGAAAGTAACCACTATGAAGGAGACACATTCATCTGCATTAAGAGTTCAGTATATTTGTCAACGATCTAGCCAGTCAACAGTTAGTCAATAAACATTAAGCACCTACTGCGTGCCAGGCACTGTGCAGCCACATTATTTTATAGTTATGACTCATATGCAGATGCCACATTTGAGCAATGGACCAATTGATTTATTTTTATGAAAACTGAGTGGTAATAATTTACATTTGTACAGCACTTTCCAATTTACAAAATGTTTCCCACGCAATAAGCTTGTGAGTCAAGCATCCATTCATTCATTCAAGCATTTATAAAGTGCTTAGACAGGCATTGTGAACAGAAACAAACACAAACGAATCTACATCATCAAAGAACTTAAATTCTATTGCAAGGAAAGTAACATGAAGAGATATGTAAATAAATGCAAAGTAAATAAAAATAACTTTGGAGAAGGCACTAGCAACTGGGTTAAAGAGGAGGTGATTAAAATAAAGTATTGAGGGAAGGTAGGGATCCTAACAGGTAGATGTGGAGAGGAAAGGACGATGGGATTCTTAGTGCATCCCAGCGACGCAGTCTATACAAAGATAGGAGACTGGATGCAGTGTCCAGGGAATGGTATTTAAGACAGTTTGCCTGGAATATAGAGTGAATGAAAGAGCGTAATGTTCAATAAGTATGGAAAGGATGAAGCCAGACTGTGAAGAGCTTAAAATGCTAAAGAGGAAGGAGTACTTATCCCTAGAGGCAATAGGGAGCCAACAGACATTAATGACCAGGGTAACATTGTTAGACTGGAGCTTTATGAATATCACTTTGTCAGTTATGTGAGGTATGAATAGGAAGATGAGATTGAAAGCCAGGAGACCAATTAGGTGGCTATTATAATAGTCCTGATCAGAGGTGGTAAAGGCCTGAACTTGGACAGCAGTCGCGAGTATAAAGAAGGGGATGGATATGGATAAGAGATGTTGTGGTGGTAGATCAACAAGGCTTGGCACTTGAGCATAGAGGGTGGGGAAGAATGGAGAGGTATGGATGACTCAATTAATTGCAAACTGAAGTGACTGGAATGACGGTAGAATGAATGCTCAACAGAATTAGCAAAGTTAGGAAGAGAGGAGTTCTGATTTGGATATATTGAGTTGGAGATACCCATGGCACATCCAACTGGAAATGCCCATTAGGAAGTTGGTGATGCATGCCTGGAACTCTGGAGAGACTTGCTTCATAGTTATCTGCAAAAGAGACAGTTGAAACCCATGTCCAAAGAAGCTGATGAAATCACCCAGAAAAGTAGGGAGAAAAGAGCCTAGGGGCAGGGGTGGGGGAACCTGCCAAGGTGTGCCCCTTTGACTGAACCCAAACTTCACAGAACAAATCCCCTTAATAAAAGGATGTGTTTTGTAAAACTTTTTTGACTCAGTCAAAAAGGACAAGTGGCCTTTAGGACACAGGTTCCCTACCCCTGGCCTAGGGGGTAGAGGTGGGAGTTAAGCCGTAGATAAGGATGCTGAGAGAGTACTGGTGCAATCAGACAGGCAGCAGGCGAACAAAGAGAGGGCAGTGTCACGTAAATGAGGAAGAAGAACAAAACCAGGTGGAGGGGTAGTTGACTATGTCAGAATCGACAAAGAGGTCAAGAAATTTTAGGGCTGATAAAAGGCCATTAGATATGTCAATATAAGTGATAACCTTCGAGAGATAGTTTGAGTTAAACGATGAAGTTAGAATGCAGGGAGTTCAGAAGTTAGGGAAGATATGGAAAGCAGTGTGCAAGAATGGGTTTTTCTATTTGTTTTGGTTGTGAAAGGAAAGAAATACAAAAAAAAAGAAAGGAAAGAGATATAAAATGACGGCTTGAGCAAACAGTAAAGTTTTCTTAGAATCTCTGTAGAGAACAATAGTAAGATTGAGCCAGTAGGTAGTAGGTAGGAGTTGAAAATTAGTGACAGAGACGGTCAGGTTGTTAGGACTAGTTGCTAGAAGAGATGGGAACAAAAACACAAGAAGATGGGATGGGTTGGCTCTGGGTAAGGAGAAATGGATATTTCATTAGAGAATGGATCAAAGAAAGAAAGGCATGGGGTTGGGGGTGGGTGTATGTGATGATGTCCAAAGGTTTGGAGATATCAGAAGAGGCAGCTCAAAGCAACAGCAAATAACCTCTACAGTTAAGTACGAGGTGAAGTCCGTCCTCTGCAAAGACAAAAATGGGGCAGGAAAAGTAGTATGAGAGGTTTGAGTAAAGAGGAAAAGACTTCAAACAATCACTGTTGATAGTGGGTTCTCTAACTTTGGTCTCAAGATCCTTTTACATTCTTAAAATGTAGTGGACTCATTCACTATTCACATTTGACCCTGGTGACTTCCTATTTAATCTGTTAATATCTTTACCCAGATGTAAGAATAGGATTTCTTTTCCTAAATTAGCAATGTGTCTGCATGATAAACCTTTCTTACCACTTCATCAGATATAATTTTGAAAAGAGAAAACCACTTAATTTTTTGGGAGATTTGAACTAAGCAATTCTCTTTACTATTTGACCACCCAATCAAATGAAAAAGGAAGCTATCTTGTTATAGATATCCAGTTTGAAGTATTCATGCTTTGATATCACGGAACTCAGGGGGTTTGATTTACTATAAAATGACCTGGTGGTTTCAGAACATAGTCTGGTACTTAAAAAAAAGACATATGTAGATAAAGATTTTGAATGATTTTAAAAGATTCCATTGTTTTTAATAAACATTTAGCTGAAAGTTACATTAAAAAAATCTGAATTTCATATTCAATTCACACTCCCCAAAATAAGAGCTATTTATAAGAATGGTTTTGTTTATTTTAACAGATTATGTGCTGTCAAAGTAAAATATTATATTACAACCAAAGTACCACACTCGTCCCCCAACCTCTACCTTCTATCACCCCACTGCTTTCCATATTAAGACACAAAACTTTTTTTTTAAAGTTCTTCACTTTTCTTTGAATCTTTTTCCCTTCTGTATCTTTGTTTGCTTTAATGCGGTATGTCTTTTCCCAGCAAGTTCTATTCTCTCTGATCCATCTTGTACACCGAAATGTGATTGCCTCAAAGTAAACCACAGACAATATATGTCTACAAATTTAAAATCTTTGGCTGGATTAAAGAAAGTTAACAATTATGATGCCAATTTCTCCAACTGGAAAAGAGGTCCAGAGGGAATTTTGTTTGCTAATTACAAAGTAGAGAGGTATGATAATGTTCTGGTCTCACAAGATTAGAGTGCCTAATAATGTTAGACAAGGAAATGAGTTTCAGAGGGTAAAGAAATTTGGATTTCACACATGAGGAGGAATGATTCAACAGAAAATATGATTGACCAGAACAATGAGGAAGCAATGAAGTCACAGAATTAGAAAGATAAAAAGGTTACAAGACATAGTGGCTTTTGAAAGCTATTGTATACCTCTGAAT